TTGATATGTTGTAGAACTGATTTTTCTAAGACAGAAAAAAGTTGTTTGACGAAAAACTGGGGAATAGTGAATGAGATACAGATTTTTTAATATTTAAAAACTGGGGGAATAAGGTGTAAAAATGGGCAGTTGCGCCCCTTTTCCCCCCAGTTTTTAAATATTAAAAAATCCGTATCTCATTCACCGTTCCCCAGTTTTTCGTCAAACAACTTTTTTCTGTCTTAGAAAAATCAGTTCTACAACATATCAAATTTTTTTTTTCCTCCGGAGCCTGACTTTAAATACCATTATTCAACCAACGTTAACAAAATAATATTATTAATCAATTTATACCTCAATCAAGCCGTTGATAAACCAAACTTTTCTATACGCTGTGAGGGCTGTACTTGTTACGGACCTATGTCTAACATGTTGATGCAGTAGACCTTTTAACCCAATATATTTTATTAGTATGCTGCTATTTGTATACATTGTTGATGTCACGGACATGTAGTTGCGAGTACACTTTGAATAGAATAATTTTAACACTCAGTTGATTGTATTCTATATTAATATTCCTGAATTGTAAGACGCAGTTTTTAAGAGCTCTCTCTAGGTTGATACTAAAACCAATGTCCTTAATGCATGGCTGATCCCGCAATTCCACACACCCCCGCGGGAGTGATTCTACCCGACCAAACGCGGTTATTATAAAGTGTTTTCCAAAGAAGCACGGATGATTCCTACACAAGCCTGTCAAATTCGAGTGATAAATACAGCGACATCCTCGCGAGGATGTTGCATCAAACTCCCCTAGGAGCCGACATCTCTAGAATTTCCTAGGCCTAGGCAGCATCTAGACACGATCGGAAACTACAAGTCCTGGCAGGGACAACTGAACGTACTCAGCCATCCTGTGTGTTATATACACATTACACCCAAGATGATTTACGATTTAATGCGTGTTCTGCACACGTTTCATCTTACATTTATTTTATCACTCCGAGAGATTAGTTTTTCACAACCTTTTTTGTGTATGCATTAGGATAGTACTCGTAAATATGCATCTTCTTACCAGTTCCGAAGAAACAATTTGTTTTATTTTTACAAAATCGTTTGAACAGAACGGTGGCACGAACACATTTAACTCTGAAAATAATAATAAAACAGTAGTAAAAATAATAATGATGATTATAATAGTGATAATATTAATGATAATAATTAATTAAATAATAATAACTATTAGACCTATTATAAATATGAATAAAAGTAATGATAAATACTGTAATAAATTATCAATAATAATAATAATAATAATAATAATGATGATAATAATAATTACATGAGAATTATAATGATGAATAATAGTAATACATTGTAATTATTTTTATACAGTATTATTACCATCGTCATCATAATCATAATTATCGTTAGGTCTATTAAACATGTAAATAACAGGCCTAATAATAATAATGATGTATAACAATAGAGTTACCTATAACAATAGATACAACAATAGATAATTCATCTAAAACCTGTTAGGCTTACCACATTTTAAAGTCAGACATTTTCATCTATCATATAATTTTGATCACTGCGTTCGGGTGACGTAACTACATAAAATAAATGAAATTTAATATTAGGAAGTTATCGATGTAAAAAGCTGTATCTTCAATAGAATCATGGCATGTACTTGAGTTTGGCCTTGTTTTTACAAAACATAACCTCGATGAAAATTACACAAATATTATTGTCTTGGAGGCTTGCGCGTTTCACACCTTTATGCCTCGGCAGATGTTTGCACGTAAGGCATGACTGCGCCTTGTTCATATTTCATGACCCAGAGGAAATGGCGTGTGTTCTTGAAGATGGTGAATGCGTATGGCAGGTGTATAGCAAACGGGGCTTACCGTACGCTCGAGTCGATTCATCTCGTCTTCTTCACTTCCGAATCACTGATAGCAATACGAGTGATATTCCACCTCAATAAACCTAAGTATTCTGGTGATGGATGATTTGAGATGGATTCACCTTTAAAGGTTCAACAGTTTTACTAACTTCGCCGTCGGTCTTCACATTAGGGCCAAAGATCCTTATAAATATGCAGAATTATATTAACATCCCTATATAATATAGGCCTATATTTACTTAAAATCGCTTCCAAAGATTTGGTTAAGATGATGAGAATATATGTGTGTATGTATGTATAGACAGCAGAATATTTATGTACATGCGTAGACAGCAGAAGGTCCCGGGTTCGTATCCCGTTTGTGCAATTTCGCACGCGCAGATTCCTTTTCTTTACCGCTCAAAAGCTATATACTATATCTGTCTCTTATACACATCTAGATGTGTATAAGAAGGGCGTTCGGCCAGATAAATCTGGAATTACGGCTAGAAATACTGTCGTATATATATAAACACTGTATATGTACCTTTGATGATTTATATTATATTTATTCAACAGTGTTAACGGCTAACTTCCTTCAATTATATATATATATATATATCATACATATATATTTATATAGAATCAGTGTCGATTGTTGATGCGTAGCACTAGTATACACTGTTTCTTCCTGATATACCGTATATATATAAATATATAGTGGTGTATATAGGCCTATATAATAATCTAACCCATGATGTGCATATACCTATTGTGTTTACAGGCCTATCACTGAAAACTACTGCGATATTTTTACTGAACTTGTTCATTTTCTCTTTCAGTTCAAAAAGAAGAAAAATGTGATGATTCACCGTCAATAACAGCAAGTGAATGCAATGGGATTGCCAGTCCGACCGCCGTCTTAAACAATAACAACTGTTTACAGACGGAGGATATGTTAGATCTTGATAACGACAATTATATTTCACCATCTCCGTCCTCGCCCGCAGCAGACGATACCGCAAAACATTCCCCCGCCAACTCCAACTCAGATACAGAAAGTAAAGCAGACGATAATGGCAACGGCAACTCGAATTCAGTGGCCGGCGCTAAGCGGCGAGGACCACGGACTACAATAAAAGCCAAGCAATTAGAAACATTAAAAGCTGCGTTTGCAGCTACTCCAAAACCTACCCGGCATATTCGTGAACAACTAGCTCAAGAAACTGGACTAAATATGAGGGTGATTCAGGTACAGTACATATTGATTTACCTTGCATATCAAAATAATGAACATGAATATCGCTTGTTACTCTCTTAAACTGGGCACATTGCGTCGTACGACCGTCGGCCTACGAATCCAAATCCGCTCCATGTGATTGCTACACGACGTGAAGCCGGCTGCTGATTGTCGGTGGCAGTCTGAACGGATCGTCATAAAAAAAATGATCCGTTGCTCGCGCATCTTAGCGTTGCGTTCTCCGTAGAATCGTGTCGGGCGCAGTAAGTGCCCGGCTTTTACAATATAACAGCAGATTTCATTATATTTTGTAAAAAGCTTGCGCACACCGGAGTCATTGGCGACCATCTCTGCCTTTGTTTATTCTATTTATTAATGTTCTTCGTTGAGCTCCAGTATTTCTCCTACCCGGAAGAATAAAACCTGCTTATGGGCTCCACCTTGGATTACAGGAGAATTTATTACTGTGCAAATTTGCCTTTGGATTTTTTTTTCATTGCTTTAGTTTCACTGTCTATCGCTGTCTTTGTGATACAAATTTTACAAGATACGACGTTATATACTTGAATCTTAATCCTGGTGTTTTTGCTGAAGAGAATAAAGAAGATCGGGGTAAACGAGTATACCAAAACTACAATCGTAGTTCAACGATAGAATTTCATAAATCATTTCATATTTAACGCAACATTCAACATTGGATGACACTGACGTGTGTTGCAATGTAGATAGATAGACAATGAATAAAAATACAGAAATCGATGGTTGACTTAAGAACACATTTTTGTTAATGTGTACAGTATCACGTGATACTGCACAAATAAGGCATTTGTGTTCTTAAAGTCAACCATCGAAATCTGTATTTTTATTCATCGATATTTAATAGGGCCTCTAAAACAATCCAAATACAGATACATGTACATCAGCCGAAATCGATTTCACACCGTGATACCAAGAGGCCTGCCACTTCTAAAAAAGTTCACAAAAGTTTTACTGGGCTCTCTGAAACGTAATTCGATATCTCATTGTGGACGTACTCTATACAAATTTATTTATTTGGAATTTGTAATATTTTTTTTGTCTGATTCAAGTTGGCAAAACGGAAATCACGTGATAATCCACATCCAGAAAAAAAAACAGTTATTATATTAGGCTTATGGAGACATTGTTATAAAAAAAAAAACACTTTTTTGTTTTGTTTATAAATTTAGGGATCTTTTAAAAGGTATTCCGGTCGATATGAGGTCTTAATACCACACGTCACGTGACACCCGCTTCAGCAACCCAACACTAAATCGAAGCGCGTAGAAAATATGATATCACCAATCTATTTATAACAATTTTGAGGGGTTTACTTATTAAAACAAGTAAATAAATCTAAACATTTGACTTAGCCATGCGTATTTGATTTGCAGCGCAGGGCCGGAATTCCAAGTCGTGTAGAGTTATCGATCGTATCTTAACCCTTGAAAGGCAGAATTGATCGCTAGCAGTAAACTGTATTGTGATATCCTCCCATCGATTCGTATGAGACGATCATCGCCTTAATTATAACAACTCGTCACTCATTAACCACAGTTTCGTATTTCTACTGAGAACCCCATTTCTTCCCGATCTCACGACATGTCCAATTGTTAAGTTAATTACAAATAGCGTTTGTTGATTATGTAATGCATATTTAATTTTAAATTATTAGGTGTTGTACGCGGATACTTCATTAGTGGATATTTACTTCAGTATTGTTAAACGGTCGTGTATTGTATTCTTTCGTAATAGTTTAACCTAAACGCTGCTCAAATTTCAAATATCAATATAAGTACTCGAATTTAATTTATATATCAATATTAGCTATGCGGTCCAAGTGTAACGCAACAGTCAGTTTTTGCGATTGACTGTTGACGTCTGCCTCGGTCACGTGTCCTTTGAATACTCAAGGTAATATCAAAAATGGCAACTAAGTTTCTATGGTAAATATATCAAATGCATGAATGGTATGAGTTTATCGAAATTTATAATCAATCGAGATTCTGTGACATTGTCAATGTAGCTTGTTGTAGGCCTATTAGAATACCAGCAGACTGAATTGTAATATAAACATTACTATTGATAATAAATTTAAAATTATATTAAAGATGAACTTTGACATACTGACAGATTGCATAATAATAATAAAAATAATAATAAAGTAACTTGCTACAGTTTTAAATGATCAACTCTAAATGGAACTTAGGCCTGTTACCTGTAGTAAACGTATTAGTATGGATGAAAATTATAACATTATTTTTTTTTAGTTTACCAATTTTTAGATTTTAGGCCTAATCAAATTATTAAACATTTGTATATATTATAGGTAAAATACCAATTAAAATTTCCAAATTATCATTATTAGGCCTATCGTTTATTTATTTGTTTATCAATCTATTTTTATTATTTATAACTGTAGACTTGTTCAGTGTAAAGCTAAACCTTCTATTTCCCACACTACTCAACATGTTTTCAAATATATACATTCCCAAATCGTAGGAGCTTAGGTAGAGTAGAGCTGTGTTTTGTAGGAAGAATAAAATCCGGGTTTAGACAGATTTTTAACACATGACTGTGGGATTTGAAGATAGGTATTTTAACCAAACTTCGTCTCATCTCTGGTGATAAAATAAACAGTTCATTGTACAATAGAATAACGTCAATAATGAGCCTACAGTGCTATAATTCTGAAATACAAATTAGTGTACAACTAACTACACGTTACCGTAGTCTGTGGCAGACGACAGTTGTCGAATCAGTGATGCTATGAAACCAGGGCTGTGTAAATCAGGACACAACGCAGCGCCTCTTAAATCCCTCATGAAAAACCAATTGAAAAGTGATCAAATTTCGCTTTTTAACATTTGAATATTTGATAGCTCTTTCGTGACAAGACTTAGATGGGTGGTGCATCTCATTAGATATAATCTAACTTATAGATAGCATCAATTGAAACTATTTTCAGTTTGTGGTTTTTTGTGGTTAATAAGTGTATATTTGATATTGTAGGAACGTGATTATGTGTATATCCAAGAATGGCTTAGATCTATCATTTCCATAATAGCACGATAATCGCCCGATCTATATGGTATAATAGCTTCTGTCAATAATAATTTTTCAGTTTGATTTTGTTTTTTATCCCCACGCTCAAACCTCGTCTGAAAACAATAAATTTATCGTTAAATAGGGTTGCAATAAATCAAAACCTAGATTTCTGTAATCACAAAGCAATGCGTGAAACGTTTGTTTCACAATGTGTATTTCCGTAGTGTTCAACACGATCTTTATTTAGGTACTGTTCATTCTACTTTTCCGGCACTGAATTGGTCGCTTTGTCAGTTTCAATGAGCAAAATGACGCTTAATTCTGTGAATGGACACACACGCATAGTTCCCATGTGAAGCCGTTTTTTAGATTGATTGACTCGACTGATCACGAATTACAAGACCTTTTGTCAGTTCCTATAAGAGATTTGTTTGTATTTTCTGGTGGTTGGTTGTGTTTGTTGCAAAATGCCCGGCGGCCTATTAGGAATCGGCCGGATTATGCATTGATTGTTGTACATATTTTTGTTCAATACTCAAACTATCGCTTTCAAAGACGTCCACGGTTGTGTGATTTTCATTGAAATTTAAGTGCATTGGTTACACATCCGCCTGGGTCACAACGAGATGTGATTGCACTATTTCTTGCCATTTTGATTGCCAGCCAGAACATTAGCTTTTATTTGAACAACTTCTCTCTTGTTGCCCGACATCGTTTCCTTATGAAAATAAAACGTTGACAACTGTTATCTTTAGAAGTAACGGGGAGATAAATAACAAGGTCGGCTTCAGTATAGGGGCATAAAAGCCGGTAGCTCCGCAACACCATGTCGGCGGATGGTCGCTCATTCTCAGGCTCTAGGCCATCGGTTCATGCCTCTCGGATATACCAACTCCACTTAATTGATTTGATAATTCGCCTTCAATCCCTCAACCCTCGTAGCTAGAGTTTTTGCTG